CGGGAGTTTTACACATAAAGTTCAGGTTGTATAGTTGATGTGTAGTATTTTAAATGTTGATTGAGTTATTCCGATTATTTCCTCCTTTTAGAAATCATTCCCTTGCGGGTCTTATTTTTGTTTGAGGAAAGGTTTTTGGTTTATCATCAGTCATAAAGACTTCACATAAAACAATGGTGAGTCTCTTACCCCTAAGCTAAAAACTTGACTTCTTTGCTGTATTGGTTCACAGAATATATCTTGAATTTAAGATTTCATTGGACGGGTAGCAGGTTTCTTGGAGGGTAGCAGGTTTCCTAGTCAGGAAAATGAGCAATTAGACAAGTATTTGTCTATCATAAATTTCATAGGCCTGAACCTAAAGATATATGTAAAAGCAGAACATTATAGAAAGAAAGCCTTTTAGAAGGGGCTCAAAATTTTGTGGTAGGGTAAAACTATGTCAGTACTAGGGACAACTGGTGGCATGGCCGTCATCAAGTTCTCTGTGCACCTCCATCAGTGGTTTTGAAGCCTGGCTACACATTGAAACATCTTGGGAAGTTTTTCAAAGAGTATTAATGCCAGAATCCCACTCAGGATTCTAACTTAATTAGTCTTGGATAGAGCCTGAGCATCTGTATATTCTTTTTTTTTTTTTTTACATTTTTTTTTATTTCGGCATATTATGGGGGTACAGATTTTAAGGTTCAATAAATGCCCATTTCTCCTCCCTCCCAAAAGTCTGAGTCTCCATCATAACCATCCCCCCCAGATGGTGCACATCTCACGCATTATGTATGTATATCCCCGCCCCCCTCCCCCTCCCACCTCCCAATACCCTATTACTGTAGTGCCTATGTGTCCACTTAGGTGCTACTCAGTTAATACCAGTTTTGCTGAGAATATATCTGGTGCTTGTTTTTCCATTCTTGGGAACTTCACTTAGTAGTATGGGTTCCAGCTCTAACCAGGAAATAAGATGTGCTATATCACCATTGTTTTCTTAGAGCTGAATATACTCCATGGTATACATATACACATTTTATTAATCCATTCTTGATTGATGGGCATTGGGCTGTTTCCACAGCCTTGCAATTATGAATTGTGCTGCTATAAACATTCGAGTGCAGGTGTCTTTTTGTAGAGTGTCATTGGATTCTTGGGTAGGTAGATGCCCAGCAATCTACCCAAATTTGGGATTGCTGGATCAAATGGTAGATTCACTTGTATCGCTTTAAGGTATCTCCATATTGCTTTCCACAGAGGTTGAACTAGTTTGAGTCCCACCAGCAGTGTAGGATGTTCCTCTCTCTCCGCAACCACGCCAGCATTTATTGTTTGGAGATTTTTGATAAAGGCCATTCTCACTGGGTTAAGTGATATCTCTTGTGGTTTTGATTTGCATTTCCCTGATGATTAGAGATGTTGAGCATTTCTTCATATGTTTGTTGGCCATTCTTCTGTCTTCTTTAGAAAATTTCTGTTCAAGTCTTTTGCCCACTTTTTAATGGGTTATTTGATTTTTCTTCCTGATTTTCTGAGTTCTAAGTATATTCTAGTTATCAGTCCTTATCGGATGCATAGGATGCAAAAATTTCTCCCATTCTGTAGGTTGTCTGTTTCTTTAATGACTATTTCTTTGGCTGTGCAGAAGCTTTGTAGTTTGATCATGTCCCATTTATTTATTTTTGTTGCTGCTGTGATTGCCTTTGGGGACTTCTTCATAAAATCTTTCCCAGGCATGTCTAGGAGAGTGTTTCCAACTTTTTCCTCTAGAGTCTTAATAGTTCATACCTTAGGTTTAAGTCTGTTATCCAGCGTGAGTTGGTTTTTGTGAAGGTGAAAGGTGTGGGTCCTGTTTAGCCTTCTACAGGTGGCTATCCAGTTTTCCCAGCACCATTTATTGAAGAGGGATTCTTTTCCCAGCGTATGTTTTGTCTGCTTTTGTCAAAGATGAGATGGCTATATGAGATGGTTTTATATCAGGATTCTCACATTGTTCCACTGGTCAATTTCCTGTTTTGTGCCAATACCATATTGTTTTAATTACTACAGCTTTAGTTATAGTTTGATATCTGGCATATTAATGCCTCCCATTTTTTTGTTGCCTAAATTGCTCTTGTATTCGGGGTCTTCTTTGTTCCATATGAAGCGTAAAATATTTTTTTCTATATCTGTGAAGAATGCTGATGGGATTTTAATAGGTATTGCATTGAATCTGTAAGATCAGTTTGGGTAGTATAGACATTTTGATGATATGAGTCTGCCAATCCACGAGCATGGTATGGATTTCCATCTGTTTACATCCTCTGCTATTTCCTTCCTCAGTGTTCATAGTTCTCCCTGTAGAGGTCTTTTACTCCTTGGTTAATATATTCTAGGTACTTTATTTCTTTGTTGCTATTGTGAAGGGAATTGAGTTTTGATTTGGTTCTCAATTAGATTGTTGTTGGCGTATATGAATGCCTCTGATTTCTGTGTATTGATTTTGTATCCTGAGACTTTACTAAATTCATTGATCAGTATCAGTAGTTTCTTGGTTGAATCCTTGGGGTTTCTAGATACAATATCTTCTTGCTTCTTTCCTCTAATTTCTGCTAGAATTTGTCTTTTCTGCAGAGACCCTCTGTCTGGCGGTGTTATTCGTCTGCCATCTTGCTCCGCCCCTTGTATATTCTTTTTAAGTACCTTAGGTGCTTCTGATGTTCAACAAGGGTTAGAAACCACTGATTTGTATGAACTAGAGAATTTATATTAACAAAATCTCAAATAATAACTAGATAAAAATATTCAGATTCTCTCACTGTTCATGCTTCCCAATTGTGGATTTCATGTTTGTTTTTCAAAGTAGTTTACATTTTTGGCAATTTTATCAGTTATTTAACTTACTGTATAAGCTTTCCACCAGTTCCAGAGTGGAATATAAATGAGTGCTTTTCCATTATAGCTGAATGTTAGATTCATTTGAGAAACTTTTACAAATCCTAATGTAATCCAGGCCACACTCAGACAAGTTAGTTCAGAATCTCTGGGGGTGGGACCCCCAGGCATTAGTGGGGTTGGTTTTGTTTTGGCTCCCCAGGTGATTTCAATATAAAGCCAAATTTGAGAACCACAAATCTAAATAAATATTTTTTGTCTTAATTTTCTTTAAATGGCTTTAGTTGGGCACTATCTCACTATGTCTCTCTTTTTCAGGATATTATTGATAGACTTATAGTTTTGAATTCTGAAGCCAAAATTCGTTCATTATTCAACTATGAACAATCACATATCTTTGGCCTGAGGTAAGGTGCTAAATTTTACTTTAGATATTATATACGTTTCAAAAATTAGACAGTTCTATATACTTTTATTTTTTATTTGTTTAAATTAATGGAGTACAATTGTAATTTTGTTACATGTACAAATTGAATAGTGGTGAAGTCAGGGCTTTTAGGATATCCATCAGTTACCTGAATAATGTACATGTACCCATTAAGTAATTTATGTACAGCTAATTTTAAAAAGCATGTCTAAATGTAATTTGTTTTCCTGCAACATTATAGACAGAGTAACTTTCGCAATTAGATTTTTGTGCTACAGCCTTCATGTTAATTTAGGTTCTGTATTATTACATTGTCTTCCACTTTTGCTTGATTTAACAGAGGCATTTTGGGGACTATTTCAATTAGTTTACTCAAGAGTCAACTGAGGTAGTATGATTACTCATCCAATTTTTGGTACTTCTGAAGATGTTTGCTTATATAGATAGTTACTGAATTTGGTGTTTATGTTGGGGGATGATCATTGAATGTTTCTATTTGGCCATCTTGCTCTACCTGCTTCCACAAATTTATTTCCATTGTGTGTTGAAGTTCATCCCATAATAATCTTTTATTCTAAAATAATGACTTATTTTTAAGTCATACTTTGAAAGTAGATAATTTACTTTCATTTTTTCTATTAATTTTAGTTTATTATTGGTCATTGAGGTCTAATGGTGATAAATTTAGATTATAGTTTTACATTATATAAATCTTATGTTTCTGTGTCTTTGGGATTTTTATCTGTATCTTTCTCACTCACAATGTTGTTGGTAATATGAAGGTACAACTAGAAACATTTCTTCGGTAGATTATCTCATTAGTGTGTTTGACTTCTACATTTAACATTGTTTGTTCCATTCACTTAAATTTTCCTCTGTCTCAAAACTCTAGAGTAGCATTAGGTGAGTTTGATTGATACAACTTACTTGCCATGAAACTTAAATGAGGCTAATGTGAGGATTAGTGAATTTGTAGCTTTTCACTTTTCAACAGCAACACATTCTGTTTAAAAATTTTGAATTTGAATTTCTTAAGATCTTACATTTTAAGTGACATATTCAAGAAGGTTGCATTTTTGATTAGCCCTCCCTCTGCCTCTTTTTTCCTCTTCCAACCTATTGTTTTATGCTAGATCATTCCTATTAATGTGAAGACATGCCTTCATATATCCCATGTTACAATGAAACAAAACAAAACATACATAAAAAGAAACTGCTTGTGACCTCATATCTCCCTGCAACCACTGTCCTATTTTTCTGCCTCTCACCATAGCAAAACATATCTATACAAACTGTCCTCACTTGTTTACCTCTATTTACTGATCAGCTCACTTTGACATGACATTGATTTTATAACTCTGTCAGAACTGTTCATCCTGCTCATCCCAAGATCACTTGTAACTTCCATGGTCACGGATCTAGTGTATTCTTCTCTTTTCTCATCTTACTATAATTATCAGTAGCATTTGATATAGCAGACCATTTTTATTCTATGTGAGAAATTGTCTTCTTTTTGTTTCTGTGATACTACATTCTCCTATGGCTGCAATTTCTCCTTTTTTGCATTCTCAAAGCAACCTCTAAATGATGGAATACTCACGACTTGGTGCTGGGCCTGGAACCTAGTACCCTCGTTTTCTGTACACTCTGTTCTCAGTTCATTCCACTTACAACTTTGCCATTAAGTATCGTTTCTATGCCATTGGATGCCCCAGTTTATGTCTCTAGCCCAAACTTCTCTTTTGAGCTACCAGACACATATACAACTGCCTCCTGACATATCAATTAATACAGTTGCCGGGCATCACATACTTAACATGTCTAAAATTGAACCCTTCTTGAATCTCTCACATTTCCTCCCACAAAAACAAAATAAATTTTTCATTTCCATCTCATTTAGTGGCCCAATTATCTCTTCAGTTGCTTAATCCCGAAAGTCATCTTAACTTATTGCTTTTAAAACTATGTCTTTATTATAAGGAAATTAACCAATGAAGGAAATTAAATTTAATAAATTGTGAAATTTCTCCTAATTCTGAAAGTATCATTATTAACATTGAGAAAAAATCATTCTAGACACCTTTCTATACATATACAGACAGAAGGATGGATAGATATATAGGAATAACTCTTTTTAATAAAAATAGAATCATAATATAGTTGCCACTTTAAATTCTAACTGAATTTTAGAGAAAAGGAAAAGAAACCCTAGCAAGACTAAAGGAATTGCTGAATTTCAAATAACTATTTTCTCACTCCAGGTGTTATTATTTTCCCAGAGATTCCTCTAAGGTTAAGAAAAAAGATTATGTAAAACATTTTCAGATATTTCAGCCTGATATTTTACTTTTAGATAATATTGATCCACTCTTTTCTACTATGGAAGATGAAGACATTCACGATCTCCTCAGCCTCCCACTTCCCCTGTTCTCACCTATATTAAAAGGTGGTTCTTTTGCCCATTTTCTAACCTGCCTTCATAGGTTGGAGACCATATCTTCCTCTCTATCCAGGAGGGAGATTAAACTAATCTGGGTTTCTCTGTGTAGTGACTATGAGATAGATATGCAGTACCTTTTTATATATGACTACATAATAAAATTTATAATTTTAAATTTACTCTTCTTTATTTACTCAGCCAATATTTATTAAACCTTTACTGTGAGCTATGCCCTTTGCTAGGTGTGGGGGATGTAATGATGAGTGAAATCAGATGTGGTACTCATTCTCCTTAACCAAAAAATGTGCAGTAATTAATGCAGAAAAGAAACACATTCTGATAAAACCCTCACCCCTCTTTTCTCATTTTGAATAACTGGCAATTCTGACCCCTTTGTGTGGCTTTCCATAATATATGTCTACCTTTCCAGTGTACATTATTTCCCACACTTCCTCAGCCTGAGCTAATGTTCTGAGGAGGGTTAGACTCCTTATTTTCTTCAAGCACATTTAGTTTTGCCTCTAAGCCTGTTTTTTATGTCTTGAATACTGCCTTCACTTTTGTCTAGTTAGACAAATTCAGCCCTTCCTTCAAAGCAAAGCTTGCTCTATGAATTACTTATAACCTATCCTGATGTCTTTTTTCTGTATGTCCCTTGCCTTTGTGGTTATCCCCACAGATTTAATAGTTAATTTATTTCTCCTTTCTGACTAAAAACTTCAACTTCCCAAGGGAGTATAATTTTCTTCTTCTATCACTTCTACCATATTGCCAAGTACTTTTTGGTTATTTGGTTTAACATTTATATGTTAAATTTGACTGATTAAAACAGTTGCCTGGAAACTTCTGATCCTGCACAAGGCTTAGCAGCTTAAGGTTTCTTAGCCATTTTTAGGGTTCAGAGGAATGTTATTCCCTTCCTAGGACATTTTATTTCAACATAAAAACTGTATATCTTGTGGGGAAAGAATATGATCATTTAATATTAATAGCTTTTTATATTAAATTACACTACACATTACAGGCTGTAGAATGTGTTAGTTACAGGCTGTAGAATGGCCTATTTTTTTTTAACATTTTAAGTGTTATGTAATAATTTGGTTAAATGTACATTCAAATTAAATATGGTTAAAAATCGTAGTATATTTCTCTTCAAACTTATTCCTTCTTGCGTCATTTGAAACTTTAATGTGGCCTATTTATTTTCTTCAAAACAAAACTCAGCAATCTGTAATTATAGAATAGCCTTTAAAGTTAATCGCTTGCTGTTTGTTATTATTTTATATTTATCCGCCAAAAGTAAATTCTATGTACAGTACAATGAACAGTTTTACATATAATTAATTAGCTTCTTTGTAAAGGTCTGATCTCTAAGATGACTTTATGAGGAAAGGTAAAAAGTTCATATTTGTTTTAAAAATTAGTTCGATTAAAAAGTTTGGTTATTTTAACAAGTAAAATACATAACTAAATGTTAATATTCCATCCCAGCAAATCACCAAATTATTTATTCCCAGTTACCCAGTTGCTAGCTAGACTTAAATCTGATTAACATTAGTAATAAGAAATACTTCTTAAATTACCTCTTGTAATCTTTTTTTCATATTATAGAGTATAATCTGACTATAAAACCATCTACAGTTTTTATTTTATATATGCACATACATATACACACATACATCCAGAATTTATTTAAATTAATAGAAAATAAAAATAATCAAATGATCTATTACTTGCTAAAAACAAAAAGAATAATATAACACCCTCCTTCTTAGTGAGAACTACCATTAATCCCTGCATGCCCATATTTTTTGATCTTTAGCTACAAATCATTTTTTTTGAAGGAGTGTTGTTTTGAAACTGCATTTTTTTACTTACACCTATAAGTAAAATACTTACACCTGTAAATATTTATCTGTATAATAATTTTAAAGAACTGAATAATTTTCTAGTATATGATTGAATCTCAATTTTCTGTTTTTATACAATTGGATTATTTTTAAATGTTTTACTAGACAAATATCTGAATGTTCATAATTATTGCTATGTAACAAATGCATAAAAGTATACTGCTAAGTGATAGGATAGGCACATTTTCAAATTTTATGTATTTCTGTCTACCCTCTTTTTATGATTCATTTTACATTCTACCCACTTAGTGAAATTTATTCCTTTCATTCGCTTTTTCATATGTTTGGAATATATTTGTTGAATCCTTACTAAGTGCCACACTGTTAGTCTTTGACGCAGCATCTGTGACTTTGTTCCTTTTATTTTGGGATACCTTTTTGTCAGTTCATTTTTGCTGATTCTCCTCGTTTGCTATCTACCTTTCAATTCCAATTCTTTTCCACACATGCTCACAAAAATCAATATGCCCCCAAACAGTACTCTGTGTGCTTAAAAAAGCTCAAACTAATCTCCAGCTGCAGGAGATCCAGAGCATTTCCCGAAACTCAGATCCAAATTTGGTGCATAGAGTGAGTGAGCAAACTCCCCAAAGCTCCTGCTCATCCTTGGCTGCTTATACAGAATTTTAT